AAACGTAATAAAATCTGCAGCATAATGGCAATAAGGAAAAACCTGAGGCCCTTTAGCATATAGTAAGGGCGCTCTTCAAGCATGAGAAATAAGTATTCTTCTAAAAAATCAAATATTAATATTTCCCAGCATCCACTTATCAGCAATACCATTTTAACCATAATTACTCTGCCTCAAGGGTGACCCTTGATCTTCAGGCATTCCTAGATATCTCATCTCTAAACTTTCTAGCCTCTTATTTCTTATTCTATGGGGAACAGAATGGTTGGCACTCTGAATCAGGAACCAGGAAAAATGACAGCACAATTAAAGCAGGAAACAGTGATCAATGCAGGACAACTACAATATACAAAGTAACAAAATACTTGGGCTTGAAAACTAAACAACAAAATTCAGCAAAATGCCAGAAAATTGATACACTAAATTCATAATCTATTTAAAGCGCTATGTCAGCGTATTATGTTTCCTAAATAGAATTTAGTTTGTAACTTTTGTATCTAAACGAACTATAAAGTATAAGCAAAGTTTGAGGACATTCAACAACGGCTCAGAAAGGAATTTAAGGGTCTACCTCAGCACTTTCCTACACAGGGGAATTGAACTCCACTTGGAAGCCTCCAAAGTTACTTGGATTGAAAAATATTTCCAAGAATCCGTTGTTCCTCCCTTATACATGTGGCATTCATCTAGTGTATGCCAAACTTCAAAGACACTCACTCCCTACACCCTTACCCCAAAACCACTTAATTATACTTAAAAAAGAAAGAGTACAGTAAGTAATCCCTATTACAGCTGTTTCGTTTACTTCACGGTAAAGGAAAATTGGGAGCAGTTTGCAACAACTATCCCTCAGTGTAGCAAATTACTATCACCACTTAAGATCATCTTAAAATTGCACTCCCAAGACATTTTGCAGTAATTTAACTTCTTACACATTTTTATATGGACGTCCAATAAGGTATGCTATATATATGCACATATATATACTGCTACTATTACAAAACCCTGTAAGAGAGGTTTATCAAACTAAACCAAACCCTTCAGATTTTTTGTACATCTTTGGCTTCCAACTCAGCTACCAGCATTTAAGATTTATTAATCATAAGGTTTATATGCCATGTAGACTAACTTGAAATTAACTTAAAGTAGGTTAAAAATACCCCCCAAGTTTTAAACGGTTTAACATATCTGTTACAAGTCAGTTAAAAAGAATTAGTCCAGCAATATGTGAATTACTAAAACAGGGTAAAACCGTGGGGATATTAGTGAAAAAATTAAAAGATGGAAATAAATAGGGGAGAAAATGGAAGCGTTATGAAGCAGTTTCACCCCAGCATCATTCAGATGTTCACACTCTTCAAACCATCATAGGGCGGGGGAGGGGGAGAAGCCTTTTGAACAAGCTCAAAAGATACCAGAGGTAGGAAACTTCTGGGATATTACCAAAGAAACTTTACAGTGGTTCTACGAAAAGTCTCATGGAGATTGTGGGATAGACCGGGGGTGAGACGCCTCTAGGATTAATGTTTCATAAAAGGTCCACCGATCTGCTTGTATTTTACACCATATCGTAATAAAAATAATTGCAGACTATAGCATTCTTTTCAGATACTTTCTAAACCAACGCCGGCCTATGATTTACATTTTCAGTCCAGTCACTTAAACACGGAGTTTGAAGACTAAACACCCCACTTTTCTTTCTTGAGACAGAGTCTCGCTCTGTTGACCCGGCTGGAGTGCAGTGGTGTGATCTCAGCTCACTGCAACCTATGCTTCCCGGGTTCAAGCAATTCTCATGCTTCAGCCTTCCAAGTAGCTGGGATTACAGGCACCTGCCACCATGCCCTGCTAATTTTTGTATTTTCAGTAGACACAGGGTTTCACCACGTCGGCCAGGCTGATCTCGGGCTTCTGACCTCAGGTGATCCACCCTCCCCAGCCACCCAAACTGCTGCGATTACAGGCGTGAGTCACCGCGCCCGGCTACCCTACTTCTCAAATTCTGGAAATACCTTGTTAGTAGCAAAAGATTTAACCAAAATCGATTTAACTGCCTACATAAACTGACCAAAAAGCCATAAGGCATTAATTTAAGTAAAACATATTCAATTAATTTTTAATTACCTAAACTGTTTTTTAAGTTTTGGATGTAGTCTAACAGTAATAATTTAGCTTAGAAATGCAAACTTCTGGTAAAAAGGACATGATTTAAAGACCAGTAAAATTTAGGGCTGATGTGAGTTGTATACACAGAATTTGTCCAGCATTTTAAGTGCCTTCACGTTAAGTTTTGAGACCTCTTAAAAATACACTTAAAGAACTCTATTTAAGATGGCCGAGTAATGAGAAAGTTACTTCTCCCCCTTTTCCTTGAACCTGGCCATCTTAACTCCTAACTTTAAAAATGTTGGTTTCCCAGTTTTCAAAAATAAGTCAATAATATGAATCCTGCTTTTAAGTTCCTAATCTATAATCAATTCACACAAGGCATTTCCCAAGTGCCCAAATAAATACAAACCTAATAATTTAACAATGTTATCTGCTCAATTATGTACATTCACAGAACCAGTTATTTCACAGAATCATCATCATGAAAACATTGTACTTCAAACGGGACTACCGCAGAGGGACAAACTGGCAGTATTCAGCAAATAAGTGTATTTAATTTGTGCTGAATACAGCATCTTAAAATATGAATTTTGTTCACTGACACTTGAAAATCAAGAGATGTACATTTATCTGGATTTCCCACTTAGGGGAAAGAAATCAGATGATCTGGCAACATAAACTGTATTCCCACACAATGGCTGGAGCTGCTTATGACTGGCTGCTTCATGTGCACTTCAATTCGTAACAGTCCACATGGTCCCATTTACCCAATACCTAACTGGCCCTGGAGACATTTGAGTAGCCATTCCCACTATAATGTAGTAAGACCAATCCTATATAAGGCTTGTGAAAACGATCTTATTCTTAGTAACGTATCTTGAACATCAAATTGTAGTATGCTACATTAATGAAGGCAAGTAACCCATTTCAGGAGAAAAATTAAATCCCCAGTAGCCATTTTTTTTCAGTAAGTTGTATGTACATAATTTTTCAAAGAACTTTGAAGCCTACTCTCATTTTCTTAGAAAACTCTTGAAAAATCAGAACAGAAGCTTACAGACAGTAAATGTTGGAAATACTAAGCACCAACTTGGAAATCACTAATTTACAAGTATTGTCCCTGACGGAGGAATATTTAATCCACCCTGAAATAATCATTCACATAAAGCACTTGAAGCATTCTTGCCTTAAAAAAAAAACCCTAAATATAGCAATAATACATTTCTTAAGTAGTAAAAAAAAAAAAATCATATACCAGTTTCCACAAAATGACACTGAATTCCATAGGCAAAGTAAAGCAATCATTGATAACTGTCATTTTCCCTCCCTATGTTAACATTTTCATTCCAGCAACATATTCTGAAAAAAAAATTTTTTTAAATCTAAACCCTGAAATATTTCCATATGCTGACCGTGTAACTTCCAAAAGCCAATTTAGAATAAGCTTCATTCCTGTTGCTAATTAGATTGATTTGAAACATGGATTTTCAGAGAATAATATTATTAACAGAAAAACCATGAACTTTAACATAGGAGCCTAGAGAAAGCTCTTTAAGAAAAAATTCAAAGGGCAAAACACTTACAATTCAACATGGCCCACCACTACGTACAAATGAAACCAACCCTATGGTAACTAAGGGCATTATATTTTAGGTCACATACACTGGCTCAATTGCCTTCATTTCTATTTCCTAATATAATCAAGTTGAGCACTTATGTTTTACTCTGTGACTGATTTTAGACAAACTGACAATTCACATCTTCATTATTTTTTTCTGAGAATTTCAGTTGCTGTAATTCATCAATATAGCTAAACATCATGATCTTTTACTTCCTAAAGTACTATGAGATTCTGGTTTATCATTACGATATATTTAAGCAGAACTGCCTATTCAAAGTGACCTCAAAAAACCTCCCAACTTTTTTACTGCAAATATTGGCTGAGAAGACATTTTCTCAAGCCTGTATTTTAATTAGCAATAATATGATTTCAAAAATCAAAGGTTTCTTAGGTGATTCTCCCTCATCAGAACTATTCATAAATATATTCCACATAAACTTGTTTGGAATTAAAAAAAAAAAAAAAAATCACAAGCATTATACTATATCCACTGGAGGGCACTCAACATGACCCAAGCATGCAATGAAAACATGCTCCAACACTACTCACAAAGTTGAGGGAAACTTTGAGACTGGGGAATGTCTCTTAACAGAAGAGATGCCTCTAAGTTTAAAAAAAAAAAAAAAGTGGCTAAACCCTAAAAACGGGTTCCTAATGTGATTGACTTTATCTTTCAAGAGCTGCTTTTTCCTTAGGGAGGAAGCAAATTATATGCATACCTCAAGGACAGCAGGGTTCAGGCCTCAACAGATGAGACTAGGTTTCAAACTGAGTCAAGCTCAGTCTTGCATGAAACACAAAAGCAGCATTCTTAAGTAAACAGAGGAAATAAAGAACTTTCCCCGAGTTTAAGTGATGAAAAACTATAGGAGTTAACTCCTACTCATTTCAATCAACACAAATCATATTATATTCCTTTTGTGAAACCTGAGAAGTATGTATTTATTTTAACCGATTGGCCCACTTACCTATCACAATCACAACTGCAATATTACATAGTCTGTTAAAGGAGGACAACTGAATCTGCAAATCAGTATCTTCTCAATGAGGGTACAAGGAGGCAATGGCTACATACGATGGAGAAACCAGAAGCAGCTCCTGGGCTATGTTTACTATTCACTTTTATGGTATAAAAATGTTCTCAAGCAGTTTCAACAATAGATACCACAGTTTCAATAAAAAGAGGGCTACAACAAAACTAAGTTAACACAGTATTTTCAAAAACAATGTCACAAATCAACATGACACACTACAAAAGAGTTGCAAATACCTTTTGTTAGAAGTTTGTCCAGTTCTAAAAGCCTTCATCCTTTGTGCCCTGGGTTGGCAGTCAAGCATGCTTCCGACTAAGCTCAAAGTACAAACTTAAAACTTACCACCTACTCATCTACAATTATTGATTATCAGCAACTAGGAAACCACAAGAGAAATAAAAATAATCTTGTAACAGGACAGATGTATTATTTCATTTCAATAACACTGAAGTTTCATTTGGCTAAATATACTTACATAGTCTACTGCAGGAGATTTAATTTCACTGCTACTTATAACTACAACATAATTATATCAAACTTTAAATTTTCTACATCCCTAGTTTCAACAATACTTAGCATGCGCCTCTCCCCACCTCATCCTATAACAAAAAAGAGTATCTGCAAGAGTTTTGCTAACACATTTCAAAATACCCTTGAAGAAACTTGCCTCCTCGTTTTCTATCTTGGTGGTGGTGTTATGAAAACAAGCATACAGACCTTCACTTATGTCAATTTTTATTCCAGTCATCAACGGGAACAGTAAGCTCAGTCTGATAAATTTTAATATTGGAAATACACTTTTCTATATCATGTTAGTAAAGCAAATAATCAGATAACAGTTTAAAAAAAAACCCTCTTCAATACTCTGAAACCTGAACACTGTTAAATGCTTCATTTTTTTATTAGCCACCTTTTTTTTTTTTTAAAGTCGGTTTTTCCCGAAAACTTTTAAATGACTGTTCTGGTCTGTGGGAGACTCAGGACTCCACAGGACTCTAAAGTTACATGCTATACTAAGCTTTCTAGCACAGGTTTTTACTTTTCCCCACCCCCAGGACTTCAAACTTGAATAGTCTCAGTATTCCTTTAATCCTACAGAATAGACTTCTGAAAGTTTTTCAAGTTACTGTTGCAATAATCTCAGGGCCTTGTCCTTGTACATGGCCTTCAGAACAAAGGTTAGGTCAAAGTAATGAATATTGGGCGCAAATTAGCCACATTTTGTCTGGTGTGAAAGTACATCCTCAAACCCTGAAGGGTACTTTTTTTTAATCAGAGATTTTCAAAGATCTAAATATAAAAGTAAAATAAATGTCGCACAGCCTCAGTTCAAACGAAAAGCCTCCAAAGTAGAAATGTATGTTAATAATTTAAGCAGGGAATAAACCAGCGGTACAACATAAATAACACTTGAGGCTATATTTAATATTTCTTAGGATGAATACAAGTCAATACGAAGACATCTGAAGGTACTGAATGTTCGTTCACCATGTGACAAATACTGAAATGGCTACCTAAATTCCAGACAAACTACAACTTAGCGATCTGAAAAACATTAGCCTAGACTTTATGAAAGGAAATGCTGCCGTCTCTTTAAGTTGATGTCTAGCCTAAGCCACCATTATTCAAGATACAAAGCTCCCATTTCACTAAAACCACTCCTCGATTTCCTTTTGCCGACCTCTGCATACCAGCAGCCTAGTCTCTCTTCATTCACCACTCACAAACTCGAGGGGTGGGGGGCCGGGGACGGGGGAAGACCACAGATGTCTGGAAGATACAAAGTATGAGACAATGCTCCCTCCAAAAGGGAAGAGAACGTAAGGCAACAACTACACCCAACTGCCAAAGCTTTCAAGCTTGGCAGATTCCGAAGCAGGCTATAGGAACTTAACTTCGAAAAGTCTCGGTTCAAAGTCCTCTCTCCAGACAAAACACTCAAAGAAGTTGCAGTGCTTGAATTCCATTTGGCCAGTTTTGGAGCGAAGGGAAAATTCACTCCGCTGAAAAAACAACATCCTCTAAAACCCAATTTTAGCTGCCATCAAACTATTTGAATAAATTTAAATTATTTCTACGAACAAAATTCTCGAAGCGTTCTGAGTCAGAGGCTGAATCCTGCAGTTCACTTGGTAAAAAACAGTAAGCCATCACCTTCGCCTTCCTCCACCCTCTTATTTCACCAGGGTCTCATGCCCACTACCATAAATCCGTAAGACTCTCTACATTATCCACTGTTTTCACTCACCTGCACAGTACACTAAAATATAGGTGCAAGACATGGATTTTTCATGTGCACACCCTACTGACGCATCGCACCGGCTGCACTAGGAGTTTAGTTACTCTAACGTTTCAAGTTGCTTCGATTCAAACTCACATAGCCAGGGTATTAAAAATAATAATAACACTTCTATTCTTAAGAACTAAAGAAGAAATCTTAAGAGAAAGTCCACTGGTCCGATCCCCAGGACTGATGGGACCTAGGGTGGCGTCCCTGCCTCAGCGCCCGAACCCCAACTCGCCGCAGGAGCTGAGAAGGCGGAGCCCCCCGTCCCCACCCCGCCCCCCACCCCACCCCGGCCCCGGCGCATCCCAAGGCACAGGGTCCCTCCCCCAAACTCGGCCAAGGCCAGAGCCCCGGACGGAAACCACAGACCCCCACCCCCACCCGCCGGCCATCCGGGCTCCTGGACGCGCCCCCGCGGCACCCCCTCCCCGCAAGCGATGCCCCCGGGGCCCCCGAGAGGCAGCACGACCGGAACCCGGGCCCAGCCGCCGCCCTCCGCGCCCCGGGCGCGGCCCGCCCCCACCGTCCCCTACCTGAGCCCCCCACTCCCAACCCCAGGCCTCCCGGCTGCGCCCAGCCCGGCTCCCAGCCCGCCGCCCGGACCGCGCGCCTGCGACGAAGTTTGGCTCCGAGAGGAAGCTGGAGCAGCCCCGGAAGGATAAGGAAAGGAGCGCCCAAGCACCTCAGGGGAACAGGCTCCTCCCGTCGCGGGAGTCCGACCGTCCTCGACCTGCGGTGGCGGCTCGGCGAGGACTGAAGCTGCTCCTCGGACCTTCCTCCGTCTCCGCCTCCCCTCGCTCTCCGCTCTCGGGGCCGGGCCAACACGACTGCCACAGACCAAGAGGCTTAAAATGGCGCCGCACAAGGAGCTCTTATAAGTCGCCCAAAAGCTGCTGTATCCTGCCGCCGCCGGCGCAGCGCGGAGCGCGGAGCGTTCCGCCGCGCGAGGACAAGGGGCGGGGCGCGACAGGGTGGTGGAAAGTAGTCCCCGCGCCGCCCAGCAGTCAGCCGCCGTCTGAGCGCCCCGGGCCGGGGCGGGTTACTGGGGCACGCTACGGACGCTCCCCGGGGTGACGGCTGGCGGTTTCCCGCAGCGCGGGACCTGAGGGCAACTCTTGAGGGCGCCGTGGTCTGCGTCGGGGAGGCCGGGCCCCCGCGGCCTGGGTTGGGGAACGTGGCCCCGGTATCTTCCCCTGTCCCAAGCCCGTCACCCCCGCCCCCCGCGTTTCCCGAACCGGGAGAGCAGCTGCAGGACTCTGCGCGCCTTTCCCGCGGCCTGCGGAAGGTGGCACCTCGGCCCTGGTCTTCGGGGAGCGCGCGGGGTGGACGGGACAGGTCCTGGGAGGGCGGAAGTTCGGGGCCAGGGCGGCGGTAGGGGCTCGGGGTCAGCGCCCGCCCGGCTTGGGGCGCTGCCGGGTGCCGCCGCTGCCCGGTCGCCGGCCTGCGGACTCTCTGACCGGGCGCGGGTTAGGGGGCTTCGCCGACCTTGCGGTCTGTGCCGCACACTCGTTGCTGGACCTGGGTCGCAGACCAGTCTCACAGCACCCCCAAAGCCCCCCACTGCCCGGATGGTGGATCCCACCTCTCAGCAGGCTGTTCAGCTTGAATTTCAACCTGAAAAGCGGGCCGAGCCGCCTTCTATCCCCACTCACGAAGGCTGTAAACTCTTCGTAGAATGGGCGCCAAGCCCGCAATTCAACAAGTCCTTATGAGTACCTACTGTGAACAAATAACTAATGGAAATGGATTAGCTCCAGAGCGCTGTCAATTAGGTTAATTCTTATAGATTCCATTTTTATCTGGTTCCACTTGTCACTAGGTATCAATAGATGTATTTGTGGGGATTTTTCTTTGGAGAAAAAGATTTTTACGGTATTACTTATTTGAGAAATACAAGTATGTTTATAGAGAAAGCTATCGATTAGGCAGCCTCTAATTTTTTAAACTAATTTTCTATTTAAAAGCATTTTGTAATTCATTTCAATAAACTGAGAAATGTTTCCCATTGTAATCCAGCGAAATAGACGCTTGTCAAAGCTGCAACAATTATGATCGATTCACTTTCTCTAGCCTATTGTTTGTGCTTATTTTTCCTCCAAAACATTGGAGAGAGTACAAAAAGCAACAGTGAAAGTTACCTCTATGCTTTTATCCCAGGACTACAATTAATACAAGCAAACAATAGGTCTTAATACATAGATGCAGGCAGAAAACCCATTTATTCATTCACACATGGAGGTGGGATGTGTAGTTTAAGCATAGCTCATGTTTCAGGGCCAGCATATTCTTTAAATAACTTATTTTTGTCTTAAAGATATTTTACTATGTAAGTGGTAATGCCAACTGCCGTCTGTCACCATAGCACATGTGGGCCACTGCAGTGGAAAAAGTGTACACAGTAAGATGATGTTCAATGAGATCCATTGTCTAGAAAGACCTTCTCATTTGTATCTTTCCTACTAATTCTGTAGAATTAAGTATAGCTATTGGTTGTGGTCACAATTCAAAAAAAAAAAAGGAACCGAAAAAGGCATTTCATCAAAGCCATGTTTCTAATACAAACTCAAAAGTATAAATGGCGTTTTCAGGTACTGATTCCTAATTTTAATTGTCATTTGGAGAATTAAGGAATATGCAATTGATTAAAGTCATATATTAAAAATCAGACGACAAATTAACCACTTTTACAGGGCCTTTTTTTTTTTTAAACATGTTTGCTTTTTCTATGTGCAGCTTTTTTGTTGTTGAATAAGGCACTCTTGAAATTGGTTAAGAAATATCTGCACCATTAGAAGATCTAAAGGATAAAAACATTTCTGTATTTGTATTTCTCTGTTCCATTATCAAAATAATGGAATCATTTTTCCATTAAATACTTAATTTTATACTTTAATTTTATACTTAATTAAATACTTTAATTTTAGAATTATGATTTTTAATCCCAATTGGCACCGTAAACAAATACATATTATTAAAGAAAATGTAAAATTTGCAACAGCGCAGCTTGCTGTTTTTCCCATCATATTAAGTGTACTGAAGAATTACTGGTTGACTAGCATTAAAGCAAGTTAAATTTAACATAGCTCCTAATTTTTATTTGCATGTTTCATAAAGCAGAAATTGTTCTAGTTGTCTCACCAAAAATAGGAGATGAATAACTTCTATGTAATGAAGACAAACACTATCATTAAATCAAAGAAAAATACATTATCAAAATGCCTGAGTTTGGTAAAATAAGTAATTTTGTAAAATAATTTTTTAAAATTGACTTTGGACAATACATTTCATAAAAACAATTGGTTATCTGTTTTATGCCTTTTCCTTCTAGAGCCAGTCACCCTGGGTTTGACATAAATTAATTTTATAAAATGGCGACAGACAAGTTGTTCTAATTTTTAGGCTGTGTTCTTAGAAATCAAAAATGTCTCCAGCTAGTTTAAAAGAGAAGATATTTCTTTTCACGCTATCAGGCCACTGGCATATAAAGCAGTGGTAGATGGAACCTGAATGTAAGGCATCCCTTCCCTAAAACAGAGGCTTTTGATTACCTTTAAGAGAAAAAAAAAAAAAAAAGCCCAGATTATTTCACACTTCAGACAGAAATATAAATCACAGAAATATGCCAGCATTGTAAAGAAGGTTCGTTCACTTTTACTTAACTCTATCAAATCCATTAATTAAACATTTATTGAGCACCTAGGACAATGAGCTTCCCTTAGAGAGAGGGAAATGGATGACTGGCTCCATGTGATTAAGGCTCTTAAATTAATGTAAAATTGTATCTGTTAACCCTATTTAAAAAGAAGCAGAAACGGTAGAAAACAAGCTGTGAAACTAGGGTGTGGTCTCCCTTGGACTCTACATCCGAATCCCCTCGGAAGGCTCCTCTCCCAGCAGAAAGGTAAGAATAATATTCCATGCATTTAAAAACAATCCCAACTCTCCAAGAAGGCTTGTTAAAAATATTTCTTAGGACAATGTAAAAACACTGGACAACAATCAGGATCAGCTTTTCATTTAGCAGTTCATCAAGTGGGCTATTTATGGATTGGGACTTTTGATTTGTAATACATCATCTCGGGGTTCGGTGTTATCTTTTGATTTCTTTCCAGCTGAACAGGCTAAGTAGTTGTAAATACCTCTTGTCAGACTACATGGTTGGCTATTCTCGCACACAGAAGTAATCTAGGAACCCACTGGGCAAGTTCGGCGGAAAGCCACTGTGGAAAGCTTGCAGCTGATGTATACTGCAGAGTGAGGGAGGGGCGGTGAAGGTGGCGGGAGGCAATGGCCATGGTGGTTGCTATGGCCTGGTCACTTCAGTTATGTCAGGAACACCCTACATGCTTGAAGTTATGTGTTCTCGAGGCCTTCATTGGTTTCCCATACTAAGGAAGTACATTTTAATGGCTACCATACAAAGTATGAAGGAGAAGCAATGGAGTCATTATCCATGATATTCAAAGAACATAAAGGTATATATGTTTCTCAATGTTTCTAAGAACTCACACAAGTACCGCTGCATTTCTAAGAAATCATGCTTTGGAGACACACACCCGCAACACACGCACGTGCACACACACACACACCCCC